AGGATAAACAAATTTCCTGGCAACAGAACAAAGTCTGACTGGTTGGTTAAAATCTATGCAATAAGTAGGCACAGCAATGGAAGCATGAATTTCTATCTTCAGGGAAGAAAGGGAATACAGTAGTTAAATTGGTTTGCAGTGTGAATGGAGACACATAGGTGAGGCAGGTAATTGATGGAAAGTTTCATGATGTATGATTCAGTGTGTTCATTTAATTTGTGTGGTAATTAGTGGCGACTGTGAAGTTGTAGGAGGGGAAAATAAAACAACTCAGGGAATAAATGAATGAAATGTGAAGATAGGTTAAAAGAGGAGAAAGAATAGAGGAAGGGAGGCTAGCAAAGAGGCTATTGTATGCATCCCAAATTATTACTGAGAGTATGCAAATAAAAAATATTCCAGACAATATTGAGGATGATGAGAAATTGTGGCAAATTAATTCTTAAACTGCTACTGCAGAGTAAGCTCGTCCACAGCGAGAATCTTCTCACATTTATCTTTATATCTCAAGAGTTTAGCCCAGAGTTGGCACATTGTTGTCAAATAAATGTCTGCTGAATGACTTAATGACTGATAAGGACTAAAAGATGTGAGAAGTAAGTTAATGTTTCCTTAAATGTTTGAATCTTAAGCTCAATACATGGGAAGGACAACAGCACAAAACAAAGGGGATTACATAGTGTGTTATAATTCCTTAAGAATGGTTTTTGAAATAGGCTGTGTGGGGCTACCAGCTTCAGTAGATACACTGTAGGACATAGGTCCCCATACTAATCTCATCGGGGGCCTCGAACATTCTGTCCAGCTAAGGCTGGTGATCAAGAATTCTTCCTGAACTATGAAATGGCCCAAGAAGTACTGGATCAACGTGGGACCATACTGATAAGCTCCTGGGGCTAAAAGAGGGCAGCCCAAACCAGACTTTTTGCTCTTCTGCCTAGATCTAAACTTTATGTCCCGTGCCAGAGAATTCTATGGAATAGAGTCAGGCTGCCACTGGGCTTCAGTCTAAATTTGATGGTGCTTAATGAGTGGTTTTTCCTCACTTTTATTTTCTGAGAAGAGTTTTTGGCACTCGAAGGACAGATCTTTTGAAAATCCTGATATTTGGACTTTTATCTTTGGGGAATGGATGTGAAAACACACTCTGGAAAATCACAGACTCCTAATGATTTTAACATTAATTTGGCAACTTAAATGGCAGACAATATTTAAAGATGGGCGTTATCTCTTTTATGCCACACTGTTCAGTCTGTCTTGGTTTCCTGGTGCAACTCCAAATTGAGAACCTGGAACAATGCCTGACACAAATTAGATGCTCAATTAAAGCTTATTAAATGACTTAAGGTTTCTTTCTCCTCTGAAGCAGCTGGCTTACTTAGAAACATTTGAAGGACAGCTGGATAATTTAGGGCCATCTAGGAGTTCAGACTCATATTGAAACACTAGAGGACCAGTGCATAAAATTCATGCACTGGTAGAGTTCCTAGTGGCTGCCGGCTGCTGGCTGGGGCCTCCCTCCCTTCCCCTGGCCCCCTGGTCGAACTCCTGGACAAACTCCCAGTCAAGGGGACAATTTGCATAGTATATTTTTATTATATAGGATACTAACAACTGGCACAGTGCAGACAGATCATTTCTCTGGAGACATCGTTTCCTCAACCTATTCCTGAAAATTATACCATTAGCTTATATGTTATGGCATGAAATCTACTCATCTAATCAGATGTTAGAAAAAGGAAGGGAAGATGTTTAGAGAGAAACAGAGTTGTGGAGCACTTTTAACCAAATATTGTTTGACCCAAAACTAAGCCCTTTATATAAAGCAGAGCTTTCTGGAAACACTTTTATTCAGCGATGGAATCTTATCATCATCTTTGGTGAAATGATTCTTTGGTTGAAAAGTAAACAGCTAGCTAAGATGTCTGATAACAACCATAGACAGAAACCTTTTTAATTAGAGCTTTTAAGTTCTAGACTTCAAATACTTTCTATATTGTGAAACACACTAATGGACTCTCAGCTATCCATACATATTTCCCAAACCTTAAGTGCCGACCAGTTTATATCTTACAGTGCTTCACCCTGTAAAACCAATCACAATTTATGGACTATGACAAAAAACTCAGATATTCGATTTTTCTCTTTGATTTTAAATGGTATCATATAGTATTATTTAACCAAGATATTATGTACAATTCTTTTGATTCTTTGCACACAGAAAATTCTTCTTGCTTCAAAGCACATTCTACCTATGCTGTTTAAGTTTGTCCTCCACATGTTACAAATACTAAAGAGGAATGACAGGAACCCCAAGGTCATCACACAATAGTGCGAAGAATGAAGGGATATGTCTAAAATGGGACCCTGTAAGACATAGCTGTCACCAAAGAAGCTGTCATTCCAACCAAACAACCTAGGGCAATTTAGTCCTGAACTTCCAGCACTGTTGCCATGGTTTCTAGACAAAGCCGACAGGGCTGCATTCCAATTATATCCTTCAGAATGACAGATAACTTAAAAAATTGAAAATGGGGTAATAAAATTTCAGGTCACCCCAAAGAGATGTGATAGATACGTGTGACAGAGAAGTGGGAGATGCAAGTTTATGTTGGTCTAGAAAATGCTTTTGTGCCTTACAATGCAAATGTATATTCTGCAGACTCTCTGCTCTTTGATAGCAATTTATCCATCATCCAGTTCATTAGTCAAAACCAAGCATCTCTTGCTTAATAGATAATTTCTTAATATTTTAAACTTAAAAAATTCAGTAATTAAGAGAATTTAAGAAAAAAATCTCTTGAACTCTGAAAAGTAAAAAGAATCCCTTGGATTCTGATGATGGCGCAAATATAGCAAGGCCATTTTTACCTTTAATTTTTCCAGTTGAAGGTATTATTGTAAACTTTGCATCCAGCTTTAGGCAATATCTGCCAACCAGTGGTATTTTGCCAGGGTCAGTAGAACACTTGTGGCTGTGCTATTAGACTATAGTGAAATCACTTGCCTCTGTTCAATGAAAGGAACCATTAGGTAGCGATCAATGAACTTAGGTGTTGGCAGATATGACTTGAGAGTCAGATAACTTCATGATCCTGCATCTCTGCAGTTAAGCAGGAATGGGGCATTTTAATACTTAATTGGCACCTGGTAATTTATTTAATCTTTAAAAGTTAAAAATAACTGAATCTAAAAATCTTTTAAAACCTTAAGTCTCAGTTTCTTCATCTGTAAAATGGAATCATACCTACTTCTTAGATTTGTGATTTTAATTAGATAATGCATATAAAGCACTTATTCACCTTCTGGCTCATGCCACTAGGTAAAGGTAGTAGATGCTATCATTATGACTTCTATAGTTGTTACATACAATGTGATAACTGCAGCTATAACAGAGAAACCAAAAAGATACCTGGTAAATTCAAGGATTTTAAACCATGTATTTATAAAAAGGTTAAAAAAAAGTAGCTTATATGTGATATTAGATGTATTTGAAGGATGATGAAAGAAAAGCACTAATTTAATAAATGGCATTTCAAGGTTTACTGCCAGCATTGTGAGATGGAAAATTCTAAATGTCTTGAAGCCTGCAATCACGCCTCCTGAGCATCTCTTTGTGAATATTTATTTTATGACTCTTTAGGACAACATATCATTTCGGTTAACACATTGAATATAGCTGCTACAGTTCTATGAAAATCAGTTTTTAACACTTTCTTTTTATACATCAATTCAAAAAGTTTAACTAGATTCCTGTCTGACTTTTACTGTACTCACAATACTTTTTTTTTCTCAGCCAGAGTTGGTTTGATTTCATAATGGAAATAATTAGAAAAAGCTGATTTGCTTAATAAGATATTTTTATATAATAAATCCTGCAAGAATCAATCTATTTTTTATATAAATTGTGATAATGATAATGTAAAAAAAAGAAAGTGATTTCTTTCTAAGACTGCTTTTTAGAAACAAAAGACATATTGGTGGTTTGGAGTACACCTTTTTGCACAGATTTTTTTGCTTTGCTTTTATGGTCTTCACATGTGGTAAAATTTTTTCATTTATTTGATAATCTATCATGTACATCAATATGATAAAGCATATAATTTTACTGAGTGTTAATGGTCAAAACAAATAGATACTTGGGCAATTTCAGATAAAAATAAGTTTAAAAATTTTGCTTATTTTGGAATTACATAAAAATAGCCTTAATTTGTGATTCATATTTCAAAATTACTCTTCTGTTTTTGAAATTTTGGAATAACTGGTTATGATCAAAATGTGAAATACTATTTCTAGAACAAATAGAAAGGGCAAAAGCTCCAATACATTTGCTTTCTTTCATCTTAATTCTTCTATCCATCTTTCTAAGTGCTCAGAAGGAATGCACTGGTCAGGGGAATAGTAGGTCTGTTGGTGAAACAAGTTTCCAACCTGCAAATGGGGTTTTGAATTATTTATATTCTGCATTTCTTTTATGGCATGGCTATGTCTCACTGAAACATCAGAAGGAAGTAGATTCTCTCATTCAATGGCTGACTTGGAAAGACAGTGTGTCTATTTTCATCATCTCACAACATCTATATATATAAAAGCCTAATTGCTGGTTGTCCCTCCGACCATTTGACCATTCAACCAGTCACTATTACATGCACTGACCACTAGGGGGCAGATGCTCTGACCCATAGGTTAGTTTGCTGCTGGGATCCGGCTGATCGGGACTCGGCAAGATGGGCCAGACATGCCCTGGAGCCCTCCTGTGGTCCTTCCCCACCCCGATCGAGCACCAGCGGGATCCCTCGGCCTGGCCTGTGCCCTCTCACAATCTGGGACCCCTTCGTGAGAGCCAGTTTCAGCTCGATCCCTGCAGGCCAGGCACCCCACTGGTGCACAAAACTGTGCACTGGGGCTAGTAGGTCATAAAATGAAATAATGACATTCTATCAGACTTGTCAAAATTACATACATACTAATATAGTGTGAAGAGGGTCTTGGTGACTTACCTTAAAAGAGATTTCATACTGTTCTCCTCCCCAGATTTCTAAACCTGGATCATAGCCACCTAACTCCCAAAACCATTTGCGATTCACAGCAAAGAGACCTCCAGCCATCACAGGAGACCTGTGGAATGAACAAAATAATCTTTAAAGGACAATGAATATCAGGGGCAATAGTGTTTTGCTTAGAAAAAAAAAGAAGCAAATTCAAGACGTTCCCAGTTGTCAATGGCATGGAACTTTTTAGCACTAGTTTTCTGTAAGTGGATTTAAGGCTCTCAATGGTCTGTAAATGCTCTTGGAATTCTCATGAGCGTTAAACTCTGCAGGTCAGGTCCTAATGCCACTAATGTCCTGTGGAGCCACACTTCCTTCATATGTTTATCATTAGGGGGAAATACATGATGATTAATGACTGTTATATTGAGAAATATCACTCAATTTTATGTTTTTTCCTCAAAGTGAAAGAGATCTTATCCTGTCAGACAGATAAAAGTATAGAAATTGCTGCTGTAGACAAACATGTTTGATTAAATCTCTTAGTACAAACTCACCAAGCATCTGCCAATTACAGGTCATGTCCATTTTGCAGACTATCAGATAGACAGTTGGACTATAATAACCCATCAGAATTAGTTAATTAACATGACAAAGATGGAATTAAACTAGGTCTTTTCAGTTTAATTAATTTAGATTTTCTCTGCTTTTCTAACAAATATTCCTTTTGGTCAAATAATTTTTCAGCATTCTACTCCTGCTAGGATGCACTGTACACATGTTGCTATATAATGGGATAATTTACACTCATTGGGCCCTGCCCTAAAATATTTTGTAGTTCAAAGGTAGCTCTTGTATTTTGAAATCTCACTATGAGCTGGGCTCTTGGCTAAGAGCTTTATCCCATTCCCTTGATTGATCCTCACAGCAACCATACAAATATCATCCCTATGTCCTGTTTGAAGAGAGAGGCAGAGGGAGGTTAAAAGCAGTGCCCAAGGCTGAATCTAGTGTATGGTGGCCCTGGGACCAAGGTCCTCTGATTTCAAAACCTTTGAGCTCTTTATCAGACAGTTTTCTTTCGTGTTTGGGGGTGAAGACAGACAGCCACATAAATGTAGATATCAAATAATTAGAGAATACTCTATGCAGACGAACATTGTCAGCACAGTTTTGGTGACAGTTTTGAAAAAGTTTTTGAAGCAAAGGATCTTTATCAATAAGAGTAAAAGACATTAAATGTTGAAGATACACATTTTAAAATATGTGTACATATTAGACACACTAAGTTACAGACCCACCGAAGACTTGCTTTTGGTAATATTTAATGTAGCACTTGAATTTAAACTTGAATTTAAGTGCATTATATATGTCAATGACTTTGCATGTTGAGATGGTACTTAGTCTACTTCAGTTACGAATCTTTTTTTAATGTCTAGTAGACTGTATGAAGATAAAAAGATTACATGGCAGGAAGAGGGATTTATTTTCTCCTGAGAAGTGAGCAGGATTAAAAAATAACCTAAAGAATCTCATGCAGTTTTTTATTTTGTTTGAAACAAAAATCCTAACCCAGCCTGTGTGGCTCAGTGGTTGGACATTGACCTATGAACCAGGAGGTCACTGTTCGATTCCTGGTCATGGCATATGCGTGGGTTGTGGGCTCCATCCCCAGTGTTGGGTGTGCAGGAGGCAGCCAATCAATGATTCTCTCTCATCATTGATGTTTCTATCTCTCTACCCCTTTCCTTTTCTTTTTGAAGTCAATAAAAATATATTTATAAAAAATTTCTAGAATCAAATGTTCCCTATCTCCAGCAGCCTAATCTTTTTCTGTTTTCCATGCACTGAATTTCCGAGGTGAATTACAACTCTAGCTGGAACAAATTGGGATTGTAACATGTATTGGGTGCAGCTCCCAATGGACCCATTACTACAGTCTAACCTTTGCTTTGTAGGGTTTGGATGTAAGTGATCAGGCATTCTCAATCTGCCCCCCAAGGGAACACCCCCCCTCAGTGCACAGATTTCATGCACTGGGCCCTCTAGTGAGTTTATAAAAAACAAACCATGTAGCATATTTTAGGTTAAGAGTAGAGAAAATAAAATACATTCAAATGGATCTTTTTTACCAGGCCCAAATAAATTAGTGTTTCATATATATATATATATATATATATATATATATATATATATTTTAAGGAGAGAACATAATCTTATAAAAATATATTTGTATTGATTTCAGAGAGGAAGGGAGAGGGAGAGAGAGATAGGAACATAAATGATGAGAGAGAATCATTAATCGGCTGCCTACCGCATGAGCCCACAACCCAGACATGTGCCCAGGCCAGAAATTGAACCATGACCTCTGGTTCATAGGTCGAGGCTCAACCACTGAGCCACACCAGTCAGGCAGTGTTTCCTATATTGATTAGTATGAATGACAGGTAAGAAACAAACCTTTGATTTATTTATGTATTATTCATATTTGTTCATTAATCTTTTAAATACCGTAATTAAGACACATTTGACATACAACGAAATACACATTTTAAAGTGTACCATTTGGTAAGTTTTGACTTATGTATGTATATCCCTGTGCAGCCACCACCATATTCAAGAAAAAGGACATATTCACCATTACAAAAGTTTCCTTATTGTAATCCCACCCTCCACCCTTTGTTCATTCCCTTCCTCTAGGCAACACTGATCTGCCTTCTGTCACTATAGATTAGTTTGCATTTTCTAGATTTTTATACAAATGAAATAATACATTATGTACTATTTTTGGGGGGTCTGACTTCTTATATTTTACATCATTGACAGTCATTGATGTTGTAGCATGTATTAATAGTTCATTCTTTTTTATTGCTGAGTAATATTCTGTTTGCATGAATAGACCAGTTTGATTATCCATGTACCTATTGATGAACATTTGGGTTGTTTCCAGTTTTGGACTATTACAAATAAAGCTTCTATGAATTTTGTGTACTAGTCTTGGTGTGGACATATTCTTTCATTTCTCTTGTGTAATGACTAGATCATATATGTTTAACCTTTTAAGAAATTGCCAAATTGTTTTCCAAAGTGTTCATATCATTTTATGTTTTCGCCAGCAGTATTAGAATTCCATTTGTTCCATATCCTCTTCAATAGTTGATACGAACAGTCTTTTGAAGTTTAGTATTATAATAGGAATATAATGGCATCTTCTTATGGTTTTGTTTTTCATTTCTATAATGATTCATGCTGTTGAGCATATTTGTGTCATTCCTCTTTTTTCTTCATAGTCAGTCTGGCTAGAGTTTTATCAATTGTATTGATCTGTTTAAAGAACTAGCATTTGGTTTAATGAATTTTTCCCTATTGTTTTCCCTATTGCTAATGGAGTTTTATCAATTGTATTGATCTGTTTAAAGAACTAGCATTTGGTTTAAAGGATTTTCCCCTATTGTTTTGTATTTCATTGATTTCTCTTCGGTCTTTATTATTTTAATTCATCTACTTACTCTATTTAATTTGCTTTTTTTCTAGTTACTTAAGTTGGAAGCTAAGATTATTGATTAGAGACTTTCCTTTTTTTCTAATATAGGTATTTAATACTATAAATCTCCCTATAGTACTGCTTTAGCACAATCCTTCACATACAAAAATGATAAGTAGTATTCCAATTTTCATTATGTTCAAAATAATCCCTAATTTTTCTCTTTCTTTTTTAAAACCTATGGTTTATACAGAAGTATATAATTTAGTTTCCAAATATTTGGTGATTTGTTTAAGATATTTCTGTTATTGATTCTCATTTAATTCCACTATGGTCAGAGAATATACTTTATATAATTTGAATCCTTTTACAATATACTTTGGAATGGATCAGAATATGGCCTATCTTGGTAAATGTTCCACATGTGTTTGAAAAGAATGTGTATTCTGTTGCTGTTGAGTGATGGTTTATAAATATTTATAAGTAAAGTTAGTTGATAGTGTTCAAGTCTTCTATATTCTTATTGATTTTCTGTCTCCTTGTTCCTTCAATTATTGAGAGAAGGATTGAAATATATGGCTATAATTCTGGATTTGTTTATTTCTTCTTTCTGTTCTATCAGTTTTTTTGCTTCATGAATTTTATAGTTCTGTTAATAGGCATAAAAGTTTAGGATTTTTATGTGATCTTCATGAGTTGACCTCATTATCATTATGAAAGACTTTTCTCATCCCTGGTAATAGTCTTCGCTCTGACATCTACAGGGTGTCCCCAAAACATGTACACACATACTCTGAATAATTACAAAGTTATTAAAATACATTTAATGAAATGTATTTATTAAAATAGATTCAATTTTCAAAATTGAGTTATCAGCTGTTAAAGTGTGTATACATTTTTGGGACAGCCTGTATTTTGATTTAATATTACTATAGTCACTTCTATTTTCTTTAGGTTTGCATTATCTAAACACTAGTATTAATAACTTTTTATATCTCTTTACTTTAGTTTTTAAATTAGTTGTGTCTTTATATTTAAAGTGTTTTTCTTCTAAGCAGTATATATTTGCATCTTGCTTTCTTTACAATCTCTACCTTTGGGTTGTTTTCTTTTAATATGTTTTTATCGATTTCAGAGAGGAAGGGAGAGGGGGAGAGAGATAAAAATATTAATGATGAGAGAGAATCATTGATTGGTTGCCTCCTGTATGCCCCACACTGGAGATAGAGCCTGCAACCCGGACATGTGCCCTGACTAGAAATCGAACCGTGACCTCCTGGTTCATAGCTCAACCATTGAGCCACGCCAGCCGGGCCATTTCTCATTTCTTAATTCTTTTGTTTTGATCCACATTTCCATCTGGCATTATTTTACTTCTTCTAACACTTCTTGTATGGTAATGGGGACTTTTATCTTTTGCATATTTGAAAACATCATTAAAGTATCTTTAAAAAGTGTAGATGGCTATTGCTAAGTTAACAGATTTTTTTCCAATCCTCTAAACATGTTGCCACTTTCTTCTCATTTGTATTTTTTCCCATAAAAAATGTTATTTTTATCTTTGTTTTCTTTTCTGTACGTAATGAGCCTATATTCCTCTGGCTATGTTAAAGATCTCTGTATCACTGAATTTTATTATGGCA